CGAACATAACATGTTTATATTTTGAGTCGGTTTTCGGCCACGCCAGCGTAGATTCCAGAGGTAGACATAGACCATCTCTGTGGTCCTTTTGATGCGACTGAAGCAGGCAAGACAGGCCATGTTCTCGATACCTAGATCTTTTGGAAACAGCGAACAGACATGCCGGAATGAAACTGCATTTTTGAGAAAAGTAATGAAGAGAGTGTGATGGAAGAAGGATGCAGCAAGCCTTCCAATCGGGACGCTTTATATGTGTCTTTCCAAGCCAAGTAGCACGTGTACGCATTGACTGCTTGCAACGATTTTCAGAAATGGTCAATAGTACAACAATACCCATTATTATGTACACTTTTCTGTACACGTAACGCCAATAATGCATCACTCCCATCTTTCCCACCACCTTTCGACCCGTCCATCCATCAGTCGTGACTACTTCAAAACGTCGAACCCCATCAGCTATGTATTTGTTCCGATATCCCAGCACTCTCACCCCTTGATATCACCCTTCAACCCACCATCAACACCACCCTTGCCGAATCTGTATCCGAAACTGACGGCAACAGCGCAGAACAGTCCGAAGCAGAGCAGCGTAGGTCCCCAGCGATCGTGGTACGTAACCGCTCTCCTTTCCTTGATCTTGTTCACTCTCCACAGGTACAAGCCTGCACTGTAGCAGAGCGCGATACAAGCAATGATGGTAAACGCCCAGGCAGCCGCAAAGGCAAGGGGGTCACCGAAGTTGAGCAATGTAGCGGCAATGGAGCCGATGAGGATCGAGAATTCGAGCCAGGAGAGGAAAGTGCGCTCGGTAGCTAGTTGGACTTTGGGTTCGACGCGGACGGGGACGTGGATGCCTGATATCATGTTAGTACGTTTTGGTAGTGTGAGATGATTGGAGGAACTTACGCTTGCCCTTGGGTGCCTTGAACCTCTTGACCTCTCCCTTTTGCTTCCATGAGGGTACACCAAGGGAGAAGCCTCCCTCACCAACGTCGGTAGGAGTTGGCTTGGGGATAACCGTGGCGACTGTTGACAGTATTGTGGAGCCCACGTTGGTTGCAGTGCGCTCTACCCATTTGCGCGCATAGCGGAGGCCTCCTTGTTTCTTGGCTGCTTCGTACTCCTCGTCCTCGTCGTCGCTGTCAGAATCGTAGATGGGGTAATCCTCGTCGCGAGTGCGTCCTGCGGCGACACGCTCTTCAATGTCAAGCGCATTGGGATCGTTGCCGTTCGTAAGAGTGCCGTAGTCGCGGGTTCTTTCCATCTCGTTCTGCTCCATGACATCCCTCGCCTCGCGCAGCCGCCTCAGTCGGTCATCGTCCTCGTTCCCATTCGCAGCAGGAAGGCCCATGACGGCATCCTCGTCTTCGCTTTCATCGTCATCGAGGTTACCGCTGGTGCTGATGTCGTTGCTTGCTCCGGGGCGCTCAATACCAAACTTGTGACTAACAGGCTTGCGAATGTCGACATCCATCTGCGGGTACCAGTATGGGATCAAGTTGATGCGCTTGGGGTTCAGCGTAGCTGTGCCGTGAATGTACTTGGAGAACTTGGGCACAGCTTCGACAAGATGGGAAGACGTGAGGTCGCGAATCCACTGCGGTGGCTCTCCTCCAGCTTGTGTCTGGAGCTTGACCTCGAGGACAGCATAAGGGAAGAGCTCCTTGTCTTCCTTTGGCAACTGCTTGAACGGCCAGTCTACACCAATGTCCATGCGACGCCAGTTATCGCCCGCACGCCTCTTGCCGTCCAGATTGTCTTCGCGGGTCATGGTAAGCTCCGTGTCGAGGGAGATACGAACGCGAGCATCGCCGGGAAGTTGGAAAGCGGTGCGGTGGTAGAAGGAGCGTGTAACGGGTTCGAGCTTGCGGGTTAGCACGCGGTACTGGATCTCTCGGGCCAGCTGCTCGTCAGAAGCGATGTCCTTCTCAGGCCTCTTCTGCTCCCTGCGCTCCTTCTCGAAGATCTGCTCGGGCCTGAGCTCACCGCGGAGGTATGCGTTGACGTTCTTCTCCTTAAGCTTGAAACGCGCCTTGACAGACTCCTCGCCAGTCCAGTCCTCGCGATGCGTCTTACGCTCGATGAAGATAGTGTCGCTAGACATGCCTCCATACCAACGCAGACGTATAGCCTCAGCACCCTCGGTCTTCTTCAGACGGCCCTGGTATAGCTCCCATGTCTCGGTGTTGTCGAAGTAGATGGATGTGATGGCCGAGTCTTCCTCGTTGAACTCTTTGTTGGGGTTGAAAACGAGCACAGGCAAGTGCTTGAGGACGATGAGCTTCAGCTCTAGGATGTTATCCGGATGCACCCAGTACTTGGTCGTCTGGCGCACAAAGTTCTGTTGCTTTCCTCCGGCGGATGCATCGCCCTTGACCGGGTTTCCTCGCGTGCGGACAATGTCATAGAGTCTCGAGAGCTTGACAACGTAGGAGTCGTAGTTGTCCTGGAAGAAGGGCTTGCGCTTCAGACGGGCGGCGAAGACGGGCTTGAGGAACCAGCTGGTGTTTTTCTACACTCAATTAGCTCTGGTTCAATGGCAGCTATACAATACGTACGTCGTGCTTCTTGATGATCTTCTGGAAGCCCGTGTAGTTGAGCTGCGTGAACTTGGCGAGGTCGTGGACGTCGGCGATGATGTCGCTCAGGTCCTCCTCGAGCAGATCGAAGTCTTCCTCGTAGCTGGCGGCGTTCTCGGGGTCCTGCTGGGCGCGCGCGACGGCATCGTTGACTTCCTTCTCGGACGCTGCTATGCGACGGATAATCTCCTCGGCCTTGACGCGCTGGAACGTGTAGACCTTGTCGAGCTCCTTCTCGAGCTGCTCGACGAAGCTCTGCTCCGACTTCTCATCCCAGATGTGGTGGACGCGTAGAGAATTCTTAAGGCCCTCGTAGTCGATGTAGTAGAAGATCCACTCCTTGTTGAGCGACTGCTTGAGTTGCTGACCGAACCTGGACACGCGCATTAGTTTCCGTTGACATCACCCGCCGTGCGACGATTGGAGGGCGCATGCGCGGGTGCATTGCTGGGATTACGAACCTCATGCTGGGCGAGACGCGGGCAATTGCAGACCTCGAAGGCGTTCAACTGCGCGATTGAATGGGAGTGTTAGCAATATGGGCTCGCGGCGGAAGCTTCAGAAGTCGACGCAGGGCCCCAGCGCGCTGAGACCGGGCCCAAGAGTGAAGCTCCCCGCTTGCATGTGCAGGCCTGGTGGGCCTTCGTGTGCTAGTGCCGTCTGGACGAGCCGTAGATGGGTCTGCCGTTGCGCCCAGCCATTTAGAAGGTCCGATGCCACCCACGTGTATACAAACAATGCAGGCAGTGTCTTCCTTCGCTGCAACACGGAGAGAAAAGCTTTACGTCGCTTCCCTGTTGGGTCAGGTCGCTCCTGCGAACTTTGACAGGCATATGCGCCAGAAGCGAATCAAACGTATGATGACGTTGCTTTCTCGACAACCTACCCTTGCAGCGGTTCATCCCTCGGCGCTGAAAAGCACTCATTACATAGGGGTCTCTTGATTCTTCACTGTTTAGGCCCATGCATGTTAAGATAGCAGCTAAAGATCATGGTTGTCTTATTGAGAGCTACACACTACCGACTTGGAATGGTGCAACATACTTTCACTCCTACTCTACAGCGAAAGACAATATTAGGACAAAGGAAACCAAAACAATGTAACTCCGTCCAGCGCCGAGCTCGTTGGGTATCGCGTAATGATAGGGAGAAAACGTATAGTCGTGTAGCGAGCGTGCATTCGTGTGAAGGCTGAGCGTCACTGTCGACGCAAGAGATGCAAGACATCTATCGCCCAACCGCCTGTTCCAACGGTATCCAGCTCAGTCCTGCGACGCACCTAGGCCTCGTCACTGTGCACCGCTTCTCTCGGGAACGAGTTGACGTGCTGGCTCGACTCAGGACTGTTGTTTTTGCTCGCCTCAGGCGACAAGGTATGCGAGCGTGAGACGATATAGAGATCGTCGTAGCTGCCCAATATCATGTGTTTCCACTTGGCGAGCGTGGGCAGTCCCACATTTGCGACGGAAGCCTTGAGCGTAGGCTTCTCTGCGTACTTTTCGCGTTCCGAGGGGGCGAGTAGGTCTTCGTTGAGGATGTCAAGCCGACTGTTGCCGCGCGGTATAGGCTTCTTTGTGACGCGTATGAAGGGTAATGACGGATCTGGACGCTGCCTTTAGTTGAAGTCACATCATCAGACTACAGAGAACGTACCTTGGTCGAGTTCCGTGCAGAGATCACGCTCAGTCTTGATCTCTAGGCCCTTTGCGCCTGAGCGATATTTGTACACGAGGATAGACTTGACGCAGTTCTGGTCCAGGTCGAACAGGCTACTCGCCTTACTGGACGTGGTGCCAGACGTCGACTCCGACTTGAACGTCATGCTTTCCTGTAACATTCCTTCGGTTCGGTTCCGGATAGGGTGAGGCTGAGACGTCTCTATAGGCGAGGATAGGGCTGCCGTGGGCGATGATGGTGGAGGACGGTGAAGGTTGGGTGTCGAGAGTGGGTGCTTGTCTCGCTTGAGAAATGTTTGCGGTCCTAGAAACTGGTGGAAGGTGCTTGTATAGGCGAAGGCAGTGGTCAGTCGTGTGAGTGGAAATACAGAGCAAGAGCCGGTGGGGTGATGGCCTGGGTCGCAAGAGAGCGTTGGGCGGGCGTAACACACGGACCTACTGCGCCCCGTGGCTGTGCTAAGATGATGTCGGGCTCGGCCGAATCACTCGCTGATTGGTTCACAATGCAGCGCCAGCACAGGTGCAGGCAAGCAGGCCTACAGGGAGACAGGACACAATCTGCGCACTTGCGAAGAAGATGTAGTAGAGGTTAGCGATTATTTCCAGGTTTCGCGTTGCGGTAATAATATAATCATTGTTTTGACCGTGGAGAAGGCCAAAATGTCTGCTGAGGGTCGCCAGTCGCCTACCATGGTCATTCGCGAAGCACTTGCGTCACCTGGGCAGTCTTCCCAGCAACCTTAATTTACCTCCTCTTCCTAAGACTGACCGTCTCCCGCATAGTCCCGAACCCCATTCTCCTTCCCTTAACCCTCAGAGCATCGTCATCAACTCCCAGAACATCGTCATCAACCAGCTCACCATATCGAATCTTCAAACTCTTTAGCTCGTCCGACATATTCTCAACTACCATCAGTCTTTCCCGCAACACCAATCTCTCCATCTCTGTATTTCCTCTTATCGCCATCATAATCTGCACAAATCCACCGTCGGTCGTGGGAACCCTATTTCGCCAGGACGACCATATTGCGATGGCGGCAAATAATGCAGCAAGGACTAAGCAGATGCTATAGGGGAGTATAAGGTTGAGCGGGTTACTGAAAGAGTAGGTATTACGGTAGCGGATGGTGGTGACGGGTACCATATCCCACCAAGTACCCAAAGAGATAGCTGAAATGATGGTCTTGGCCAAGACATCGTTGAGCATATCTTCTGTTAGGTTGAGACTTGTTTTGGGGTTGTATAAGTACGTGGCGTCCCATTTTGGTTGATCGAAACGACCAGTCTGAAAGACGGTTCCCTCTAGCGCCTCTAAATACTGTTATATAGTGCAACGGCCAATAAGTAGAATAAGGCTTACTGTATTTTTGAGTTTCGTTCATAGCGTAGCCTTCGGCCCAAGAGCATCCATAGACTGCTGTACCATTCTCCATGTATCCTCCTAGCCGGCAGTTGTCATCGCTGTACTTGTTATTAGAGTCGTACTCGAGCGTGTACTCATAGAACGAGGTTTCGAGTTTGGCGCCGAGCGCGTCCAAGAGAGTCCATTCGTTGGTCAATGGCAAAAAGATGGAGAGCTCCTGATACCATTCCTCGAGCACATTTGCTTCTGCTGTTTCCGGATACAATATCGTTGGACCTTGGTATTCGGTATCGATATAACTGTTTGTCATAAGTGGTTTTGCATTGCTTGATGTGTATGAGATGTTTTGGATGCCGCGCGGGAACGTTACGTTGATGTCGTATAACACGGACAGAGGCTCGCAAACCTGCATTTCAGCAGCCGTAAACGCCGTCCACTCTGTTACGTTTCCAGGGCTGATGTATGTTTCATAACTACTAATATTGTGCTGTTCCTTCGAATAGATCAGACGATCCGAGTCCCAGGTGGATAGGAACACTTGTGCGGCTAGTGAGGATTGTGGAGGTCCGGGATATTCGCTGCCTTGATAGAGCCATGTGGTCCCTCCGTCTTCCGTTGGTGTGCCTCTCTCCGCCGCTACAGGGGGTATGTGATGCAAAGGGATTGTATCATTGTAGTGCTTAGCTATGCACCGGAACTTAGGACCCCTAAAACGCAAGCTGTACGTTGAGTTTTCACCTGGAGGCATCGGTAAAGTGAAGATCTGATCGCTGATCAGAATGGAATGCACAATGTTAATTAGAGGGCGAGGGGGTCCTCTGGTTGGTCAGTTTCTTATAGAAGTACGGTCTTGAAGCTTACGTACCGGTACCGATAAGTTTCAGAACTTATTCCACTTTCCTGGGTGGAACCATTCTCAAATACTTCGATTGATGGTGACTGACCAAACAAACCCGCCCCCAAAGTATCAAACGTAAATCTTTCATCCAGTTCCTTGCTCTGCTGGAGTGGTGGATTCATAATCGACATATTGTGGCGCTCAGTGAACGTATGAGGCTGGAGGGCGACGACCAGTACACCGGGAGGATAGATTATCGCGATTCCAAGACACCAGACTAGGGCAGCCATAAGGAAAAGTACTGGAGCTCTTACTATACAGCGTATGTCGCCTAATGCAAGAATATTAGTACGGATAATGAACAGTTTCTCGATAGTCGCTAGCGGCGTTGGGTTGCCACGGAGGATGAACCAAAGATGCTGTGCGAAGCAGATGCTAGTACTAGCCGCCAGTGCAGCCTTGAATATCGTGGTAAAGAGTATTGACACCGCGGAGGCTTGGGATTGCGTTAGGTAGCTTGTATCGGTAAGTGTGCCGTCCAAGTTCCTGACAAGAAGATAATGACCGAGGGCTGAAAGAAGGGCTGTAGACGGTTAACGAGATTTCTTTCTGCGCAAGTTTGAACTGACCCGCGAAGAGGAAACCCATGATCATCGCTACACTTTTCCATTGCGATGCACTTTGACACTCGCTTTCGGGAGCTGCGAAACGTTCATCCTTTACCTCCCTCGACATGCTGGTTGGGTTCAATGATTCAGGAGAATGCAAAGCCTGCGTTTCATTTCCATCGTTGATGTGGTCGACGACGGTGCTTGCAGAACCTGAACGATCACGCTCATTCTCAAGAGAAGCGCGCTGTGGTTGATTTGGAGAGAGCAGCCTTGGGGCCTCGCATGAGGAGTTGACAATATGACTGCGCGAAGAGCCCGAGTTGATGCTTATGGCTAGCTGCGGGCTATGATGTCCAGATGTCGGTGCCATTGTTCAAGAAAGTCACGGGTGCGTGGAACGGGAGTGAACGAAGAAGGAAAAACTACCTAAGTAGCTTCGGGATCGCCTTTGAGGATGTGCCTCGCCAGGACCTAGTAGGGAAAAGTCGAGACCAATACCGATAACCCAAAATAGCACCAGGAAGGTGCATCTGTTGTTTATTATGCATGAGGCATTCATGGATCTGTTGGCTCACCAAGACCTTGGAAGCTGCTCTTGCAGGAACGCGAAAGTGGAATATACCTAGGTAAGCTAATGGTAGGTAGCTACCACAACACAATATAAAACAACCAGGCCCTTAGTTGGGGTTCTAAAAAGATGTATTTATTCGCAGCTTTGTGTTGTATGCCTCTACTTTTTCGCGTTATTTTATCGCGACGTAGTAATGCATAGTAGAGGCAGGAAGTGTTGTTCTAAATTGTTGCCCAGGTATTTCCCACTTTCGCGTTCCTGCAGGAGGAGCTCATTGCCAGCCAAACGATGGACATTTGATGTGATACTACAGCTACGCTAGAAAGCTCACGTCAGATTGCCCCTCGACTGGTGCGAGGCTATGCTGCAAGAACTCTGGCATATATGCGCTGACCACTTACAGTATGAAGATTGGTTCATGATGCGGCTGTGCTGTCGACTGCCGTGATTGGCCTGGTGCGAAGCTGTGACAGCTTCCTGAGGCAAGAGCTTTACACGAGCAAAGTACATTCTACCAGACCTCGGTCATTTGGTGCTTCCTTCGTCTCGCACAACACGAGACGAAAATCGTTGTCTCGTGAGGAGAAACACGGTCGGCCGACGGCAGAGCCTGCTACGAACCAGAAAACGAACGCTTCCAGTGTGCCGAGACTATCCCCAACCAAATAACTGCTCAAATCCAAATCGACCATTTGACTCATCCTACTGCTCACGTACATATGACATATCGCCTTTGGACTTCTCAACGGCGAGACTTGCGTGAACTAGCAAGCATACAACATGTGCATCACCTGCAACTCTGCGACGCCAGAACGCCATTCAGGTGACTCTTTCGGACGTTCTTCGCTCTTACTACACCGTCCGACAGAGTCGTTCGCCCATCACCAGTATCACAAGGGAGCATCACTCTGGATTCCGTTTCATACCCCTGGAGGCTCTGGTTTGCTCGAGGAGGACTGCAGCTTGGAGCAATGCCTTTCCGCCTGCTCGTACACCGCCCTAGATTTCAGCTCAGCGTAGGCAACAACGCGAAACTGCATGCCTGCATGGCAAATTGTTCGGATACCAGCAAAGTCACACTGTAGTTGTCGCGATCCCAAACTCTGGGTGGGATTGCGGGAGGATCGGCGGATCTCATCATTCTATTTCCCGTCACACAAACTTATCATTCCCCTGATCACTCCGTCATAACAAACCTCAAGGGTTACAACGCCATCAGAAACAAGCCCCAGCGCTTTATTGGACCCCAAAGGCTTAGCAGTGGCTCGGTCGCGAATCCGGTCTCCTAATTCGTCGTATTCGCAGAGTCCCTCGCTAGGCGCAGAGTCAGCCACTCCCGCGACCTCGGGACCCACCCATCCACCAGCCTGCACCAGACCGTCGCGCCCTTTGCGGCAGGCAGGAACGCGCCAGAGCTGTCAGGAGGCTCTCAGCAGTCTTATGTATATCCACTCTGTCCTGCGACGATCCGTCTGCGTTACATCCTTACGTCCACGCCCTGATCATCAGTGCGCGATTTGTGCAAGGCTCCATACCCTACCACGCCTACCTACCTAGGTAGGTCCCAAACCGCCATCGCGCCTCATACAAGAAAAAGGCTAAACAGGTCTGCAGACTACATCAAGCCAAAAACTTGCAAAGTAGGTGACCCAACGTCGACGTAGACTCCACGGTGTTTAGGTTTCGGTTGGCGTCATCGTGAACACAGCAAGCGCGCCGTCCCGAGGTCATGTTGCAACCCCCCGAGCCGGCCTCGAGGCCGCTCAGTATAAGGACGATGGGTACCAGTGCGACCCAGCAGGACAAGACTGGAGAAACCTGGAAGATGAACGTTACCAAAGAGAATTGCTGGGAGGATTTGATACTCACGCTAGGTACGTCAAGTTGGTTCGCTATGTGGGGGAGGGTCCAGCACGCGTAGCACCTTCTCTGTCTTCCGCGCTCGCGTCGGAGGGGTCTGCTCGCGAGGGCACCTCATACAAGGAAAAAGCCGAACACCCTAGAGCCTACATCAGCATATAAACTTGCAAAGTAGACGACCCAACGTCAACGTAGGCTCCAGGGTGCTCGGCGTTTCCCTTGAATAGGGTGGTAGCGCGACGATTGCGCGCGCAACGCTACGAGTGCTTGGATATGTATAGTCGAATCTGGACGCAGTTGTGGCATTTACTAGAACTCTGAGCAGATACTAACAAGATCGATAGATGGGGGTGGCATTCGCGGCTACTCAAGCCTCCTGATCATCCAACGCCTCATGCACGAAATCGCCGAAGCCGAACGCCGAATACAAGCAGACGAAGGCCCCGTAGAAGGCAGCGAACGAATCGAATTCGACGAAAACGAGCTACTGCCATGCCATTATTTCGACTACATGTACGGAACCAGCACAGGCGGCCTCATTTCCGTCATGCTGGCTAGGTTACGAATGAGCGTACCACAGTGTCTCGAACTATACCGCAGAGTGGGACATGAACTTTTTGGGCATAAAAGGAGCGTGGTACCACTTGCTACCAAATACCATCATGAGCCTTTGGAGAAGGCCGTGCGAGATATTGTGAAGCAGTACTGTAAGGAGCACAATAAATGCACAGGAGACGATTGGCATCCATGGGTTCTGGAGGAAGAGGATACATCAGCAAGAGTGCTATTGAATGAGTCAGGGGTAGGCTCCTTACAGAGCTCGACTACGTGGTCAAGTGGTGGTGCGCCTTCGGTCAGAGGCAAGCCAACAGAGCGGATATGTCAATCAATTTGCCTCACAGCCACCCACTCCGGCCAAATCGACGAAGCCCACCTCCTCCGCTCATACAACCATCAATACGACCCCGATATTGCTCCACCTTGGGTCACGCCTTACAACGCCGGTGCCGACAAGTTGAAGATATGGCAAGTAACGCGGGCCACTTCAGCAGCTCCTTTCTACTTCGAGATGCTCACGGCCGATATTGGCAGCGGCAAGAATAAAAAGCGCGTGAGCTTCAAAGATGGAGGAATTCGCGAGAACAACCCCTCCTACGCTGCCTATAGTGAACACGCCTCGCTGAAGGGCGACGATACAGAGCCAGGACTGTTGCTTTCTATCGGAACAGGACGACCAGATACCTCGAACGACGGATTCGCGGCAGTTTGGCCTGGTCCGTTGGGCAAAGTCAAGGCACTGCAGAAGTGGAGCGAGAAGTTGGCTGTCTTCAAGAATGTCTTGATCAAATATACCGAGGGCGAAGACCGTCATAAGATGATGCGAACAATAGCGAAAGGAGAGCATCGATGGTATAAGCGCTTGAATGTCG